TGGTGATTAACATAACATAATAAAATAAAATAAAATAAATTATATACTATAATAAAAACTAAAAAAAAGTTTCAGGGATAAATCAATAGTGAAAAGATTATGGTACCGTGGTCTTCCAGTTATGAGAATCAATTGATTTAAGCCAGTTGAAATACTACCGCCAAACACATCATCAGATACGAGCCACATCCCTCATGAAATAACCTTCCTATCTCCATTCCAAACTGTAACTGGCAGCAGAGTTTTCGTGAAGAAGGAGCTACCTTTATTTAGCAAAATATTTGGGTTGGTCCTAGAGCCGAAAAGGTAAGACCCTTTGGTCAGGGAGATGAGAACTAGCCTGAGCAATCAAATAGAAGGAGGCATTAGCCAGGGTTCTCTTGAGAAACAAAACCAGCAGGGTGGGGTGTGCGCGCGCGTGCGTGTGCGTGTGTGCGCGTGTGTGTGTGCGTGTGCGTCTATATCTCTATCCTCTATATCTCTATCTATAGACAAATTTATTTTAAGGAATTGGCTCACACGATTGCAGAGGCGTGGTAAGTCCAAAATATGATGGGGGTGGCCTGGCAGGCTAGGGATTTAGTGACTCAGTTCAAATCCAAGGGTGTCTACTAGCAGAATTCCTTCTTTCTTAGGGACAGGCAGATTTTGTTCTATTAAGCCCCTCATCTACATTATGGAGGGTAATCTGCTTTACTCACAGTCCATTTCTAAATGTTAAATTTATCCAAAAAAAACCCCACCTGCACAGAAACAACCCAAATAATGTTTGGCCAAATATCTGAGCACCACAGCCCAGCCAATTTAACATATAAAATTGATCATCACAATGGATACACTGCTCAGTGTGAGAAATGAACACACCGGGACTTGCCCTGGGAGATCTTGGACAGGTCAAAGGGAGAGAGATGGACCAACCAACCAGAGGCTTTCAAACTTGACTTTTTACATGGGCCTCCTCTCTCTCGTGCCCGTGTATACATAACCAAAACAAAAGCTACCCTTCATCTTCTCTGCTCGCTCTTCTCTTGCATTCCATTCCGGTCCGTTCCATCCTATCCCATGTCAAACCATTTCATCCTTTACCTAATTTTGGAAAATGTTCATCTTGATCATTTAATTAAATTAAATGAATTTAATTGCCGTTAGTGGGACACAAAGCTTCAGTTTGCAAACAATAAATCTATACTTTCCACATGCTTGTGTTTGTGTATGTGTGCACTTCTGTAGTAAATCAAGGAAGAGGCCGACAGGACAGAAAACACAGCAGACCCTAAAATGATCCCCAAACCAGGAGACGGAGTTGATTGTGAAAATGCGAGCAGCCCTGCCCCCTTTTCTCCCAGTGCTGCATACACCCTCAAAGTTCACAGACATCTTGGGGAGGGCTTTGGTATGGATGCAATTAGGGATCGGAGCATCCTCATGCTATATAGCTCTCAGGGAACACGGGGGCCCAGCTGATTACCTGTGTTATAGAAGCGATTCTGTCTACCTTTAGGCCTCCAGGACACTAGCTAGTTTCAGTGTTGCTAATCCATTTATCTTTTCTTTTTTCTTTTCTTTCTTTCTTTTTTTTTAAGATTTCATTTACTTATTTGACAGAGAGAGAGAGAGAGAGCACAAGCCGGGGGGAATGGAAGAGGGAGAAACAGGAAGCCTGATGCAGGGCTTGATCCCAGGACCCTGGGATCACAAACTGAGCCATAAGCCAGATGCTTAACCGACTATGTCACCCAGGCGGCCCTCATTTATGTTTTCTATAGAAATTGTGTATTTATCTCCCCTAGTAGGATGTAACCTACTTTTGGTTAGAGATTATGTCTTAGATACACATTTTATGTCATATTAATTAGTATAATATCTGCACAGACTAATAACTCAAATAATGTGCTTTTCCTTATTTTATGCATGTAAAAATTGTTACCAGTAAACATAATAACGTTGATGTGTCATGCATGAGTGTCTAAACAAATAAACTTTATGAAATTTCCCAACCTATTTTAGATATATTGCCTATAACTTAAATGTTCACGTAAGATATAGAACATTGTTATATATACTACAAGAGAATCAACAATCAATGCCCAAGTCACTGTGTGGATTCATGCTAAACATATTACAAATCAATGGTTCCAAATCAGCAATGAAATGTGAAGTAGGGTCCAGAGACCCTAGTTCAGCAACAGAATGTACTGGTCACACTAATGTCAGCTTAAAGGGCCCCGAGGATGATCGACCATATTAACCCTCAGGACCACATCTACCTCCCGACCTGGCCTATGATCAAGCTTAAGAGTTCATGGGAGTCTGGGGCAACAGCAAGTTCACTCTCGAGATGCTGGAACTGGCCTGAATCTTTGGTACAGTCTGAAAGCTCCAAGGGACATGGATATCACAGTAGCTCATGGCACAGACTTGCAGTGCCTTGCAATCCTCTCCAGGGTAATGGATTCTAATATATTCACATAAACTGTAGCCATAATAAAAGGGGGCATCATGATGGCTATCCATGTGTTTAAGCAATTTCGGGACATTCTTGAGTGAACCTGTTTTTAGCATACCTGCTTGAGTCTAATGTTGCTGATGTCACTATAGACTCATAAAAGTTTTTCTCTCTCTCTTTCTCTCTTCCCCTCTCTCTTTCTCACACACACACACACACACACAGAGGAATTTAACACAGTGAAACTGTAAAAGAAAAAGATTGTGTAAAAATTGTCCTGTACAAGGAAAATGCAATTTATTTCAGAAATAGATAATCAAGTGTATGAGCTGTGTAGGCGTTCATTGGTGAATTTAGACTAAACAGGAAGTGATGTAAATTATACTTATTACACTGCTGGGAGGGAAATATATTAAATCCAGACAGCACTCAGACAAAGTACAAGGAACTCATTGTGTAGAAGGAAACCGTGCAACTTTGGTGGGAAGACAATGCACTATATGGTATGAAAACCATCAGTGGCCATCTGGGACTAAAATCATTTTTTAGGGAGCATGATTTTGTTCTAGCACTGATATATTTTTTCTTCTTTGATAAAGCCCCAAGGAATTCTACTCCCAAGCACATTGCCAATTCTGTACTTTTAACCATTTCATGCTCTTGTTTTGTAGTCGTTATATTGCAGAGAGTAAGAAGCAATGAAACCATCAATATTTGGGCTAGAAATCTTAGCTATGATGAAACACCCAGAGTAAAGGAGAGGACTGAGGAAGTTACAGAATTATCTAGCCCCCATATAATCCCACCTATTACTGAAGTATCCGGGAATCACTCAGGAGAAGAAATATTAACAAATAATTTACCTTGAGAGTAAAACATAAATCATGTGATTTATTCCGTGAGATTTGTCTCATTGTTCTATTCTTATGATAAAGTTTCCTGGGATGAACTGAAAAACAAACAAAAAACATAACTAGGGAGCTGGTTTGACTGTTAGCATGGCCTAAAGAGGACTCTCGGAAAATCAGGCCAGAGACATAAATTTAATGTTCAACTTACTGTTTTGTTACAAAGTCATACCCAAAATGAAGTAATTGAATGAATTAGGTTCAGCCTTACAAGTTACTACCATGCTTCATTCACCACAGTGTAGAACAAGATAGACCCCTCTAATTTATTGGCCTCTGCCTTAATGGAGTATTTCTAACATGGCGTAACTAAAATCTTCACAAATAATTTAGTAAAAATGTACTTATGGTTTAAGCCTCAATTTTCAAAAAAAAAAAAAAATCTTAGAATCTTTCAGTGAGTGACTTCTTTGGCGAAGTTGGGGTTGTGATCACCATGGAACTACCAACAAGGCTCTGTCTGGGAGGAAAAAATCACTCCCCTGGGCAAGGACCCCTTCATAGTGCTCAAAAGAGCCAGGTCTGGCGAAGTCAGAGCAACAGTTCATGGAGTCTCCCGCCTGATGCAGAAGTGTGTTTGTGGAGGGGGATGGGGTGGGGCGTATGCCCCTGTGGCTCTCTCCACAGTTTGAGTGGAACAGAGCGATTTTGCAGAACTCCACGTTCATTTGGAAATGGATTTCTGTCAGTAATAAAGTAAGCCCCAAATGATTTCAGTCTCTGATTTTTATGAGTGATTAAACTACACGATGGTTTGCGGAGTCTGAGATAAAGGGTAGTATTTTGTTGTTGTTGTTTTTATATTTGCGTGTACATATGTAATCAGAAGTATCTGTTGAATGTTTCTATGACATTCAATGCTCTTAACTCTCTCTCCCACCTCAGACCCTGCTCCCCACCTTCCATCCTGTCTCCAGCCCCTTAACCCATAGCCCTTTAGTGGCTAAGGACACCAATCCTAGAAGCAGACTGACGGGGGAAAGTGCCTAAACTCAGTGCCTCACTTTTTTTCTGTAAAAATTAGGATAACAATGGTACCTAACTCAGAATTTTTCATAATGAATTAAAAGAAACAGATATAATGCTTAGAATACTGCCTAGCATCTATGAAGTTTTATTATTTTATTATTTTAATTATCATCTATCATCTATCACCTTTCTATATAATTGTTAGTATTTATTACCATTCCAATTATAGAATGGGTTTTTCTAGAGGATCTTCAATTGAAGGACACTATGCAAGAGGATACTTAAACAGATTCTTCAAGTGCTTATTTTAGCAATTATTCAAAAGATGTTCTATTCATTAATGGTCTTATTTTCAAAGCCTTATAATACAGTTTTCTTAAAAATATACAGAAACAAACTAGCTTTGGCATGTGCTAGATGGATCATTCTATACTTAGATGATACACAAAATCTGAAAAAAATAATTTATTCAATTAGAGAGATTGCATTTTTGGCTCTGAAAGATACAACTTTTTCATATCACTTCATATTTCTGGACCACTTTTTAGTTTTATATTCAGTAAGACATTAAGTTAGGAGTCCTTCTTTAGGTGCTAGTTGTTATGAAATAAAGACCTGTTCATTTTTGAGTATACAGTATATCTCGTTCTGTGTTTCAAATCACTATACACAAGTGGTAAAACTTTTCATAACAAAGGTTTAATTAGAATGGTTAATAACTATGATTTCCAAAGTGTCTGAGTCAGCCTTAGTAATAATTAGGGAGTTTTGTTCCATACAAAATGCTTTATTTAACCTTCATGCCTTCATTCAGATAATTATACAAATGCATACAGTTAAAGGTTTAAACTCTATTTCGGTTCACAGCTCAATTCATAGGAAAGTTGAATACAGAAAAGCAATGCACCAACAGAATATGTCTGAGACACCATTAAAAACGATAACACTTGTTCATTTAAATCTCTGAGAATAGACTGGAATAATCATCCTCTGAGAGAATCTCATTAGGAGGGTCTCCCTTTACATTATCATAGGGCAAAAAAAAAAAAAAATCACCATTTTACAGTAAAAGGAAAAAAGCTCTGAGTATATTTACAATACATACACTATACATAAATACAAGAACAACACTTACATAATATTAATAAACTTATAACAGGGGTTGCCTAAACACTACAGAGTATATAAATGCAGAGGAAACTATTGGGAAATTAGATCTTTAGATAAGCTGGAGAAATAAATTCATTTGCAATTAAAACTCTGAACAGAAAACCAAATGAAGATCTAAGACATGAACACCTTTGCTTGCCAGCATCATTGGGGGGGTTTTTGTCCTTTAATGCGTAGGACCTCCTGTGGGCATTCTAACTCTCTGGGGTCAGAGACCCAAGAGTCTTTTGTGAAATTACATCTGTTAAGTGAATCAGACGCAGCACATCTATTCAATTTGCTGTTCAGAGGTTTTCGAGCCTCGGATAACTGTTTTGTAAACTAAAGGACGTTTTTGTATTTTTCCACAGATGGATCTTGTGATCCAGTCATCATGTATAATGAGCGAAGTGTCAAAAGGAAAAGGAAAAAAAGATGCCTGCTTGATTTGGCCAAAGATGATATTTTTCTTTATTCCCATATATTTTTTTTTCAAATACGAGTGAGAGATTTATTCCGAAGAACGTGACATTTGAACTGACCCCCACACGCCAAGAGCAGCGTCTAGACTAGTACTAATTATAACTAAGTCATTTTAAGTGGCAGGTGGGTATCTTAAAGGTGGTCTGTTCTCATCGTTTCACAACACAGAAAGTTCTGAGTACATTCTTCAATGGACAAACACGAATTTGCTGGTTTCTCTCTTTTTTTTTTTTTAAATGAGCATGTTATGGTACACATAATTGCATTATGATGCAGGATGACATAGTACATAAGACGATGTTTTCAAGCTGGTTTTGTAAGTAGTTATCTTGTATCCAGAGAGTTGGTTTGCCATGTGATGCAATGGGTCCCACATAGACATGGACGAAACAATACAGCCACCATTCCGTGGGGGCGGGGGGGATGGTGATTTTTTTTTTAATGGATTTTTAAACACAACAAATTGAGGACAGACAAGTTGATAGGAAAGAGCCTTGAGTATAGGCACCAGTGCCCCAGTTCAACAATACCCATCCAACGTAATGAAGTTCGAGGAACAAAATGTATACTGCAGTCTGGATATAATTACAAAATCCTGCAATGGGAACATTAGAAACACAAGTAGGGCAAAAGCATTTCTCTATAATGTTTTATGCTGTATCTTTGGAGCATGAAATTAGCAAAGGGAAGATGTTGGTGTGTCCCTAAAATGTCTTACTTTTTGATTACTTGAGCACTTTGACTAGAATTTGACCCAAATCCTACCCTCCTCTTCACCCTCATTTCTCACCAAAAATGAATCTCTGTGAAAGTCTTGGTAGGCCTGCTTTGGAAAAAGCAAGATAGTATTCACACAGGATCGTTGGTTCTTGCTTTGCACAAAGGGCAGACTCTGTTGTCTGAAACATTTACCATTTCTAGAGATGAAACCCAGAAAGAAAAAAAAAAAAAGTCCTGATGTGACTATTGCCACTATTCATCTCTTTTCAACTCACTTCAAGTTGTGGTTTGGTTGTTGAGAAACTGTTGCTTGTGAAACCCAATGAACGGGGAAGAGAGCCCCTTCCCACAGCGGCTCGTGCACACGGAACACTTGCTCTCAGCACGGAAGGGAATTTGTTTATACAGGTTTTATCTCTTCCCCCAGCCAAGGAACAGGGAGAAAGATCATAATTCAGGAGATTCATTTTCAGAAAAAAGAAACACCATGAGAAATGACATTCTCTTAATGTTTTCTAAGCCCATTAGTATTTCCATGGATCAATGCTGTCAGGGACCTTGTTCTACACAGAAAAGGGATGGGGGTTGACTCCTCTGATGTTGGACAGCTTCTTACACAAAATTCAATTAAACTAACAACAATACTATAAACAAATTATTCATAAGACTACTTAAAACATTCCAAGGCGGTACTACTGTCAAGTGAGAAATCGGAAAAGGCATTCTCCGTTCTCTCTCCTTGCTCAGCATCTGAATGTTTGTGATTGCCACCCTAAGATCAGCCGCCAGACTAGTAGGTCTGTTAGTAACGACTCGATCGAGGGAGGTGAAAACTTCCAATGCAATTTGAGCAGATTCTAGAAGGTCTACAGGTGGAAACGTTTTTACTATGCCTACAAAAAATCCGTAGAATGGAGAAAAGCCACTCTGGCTAAAATGCTACCCAGCAGGGGAGACTGTTCATGATTTGGGATCTCCAGGCCAAACATTTAGGAGGAAAGTGACAAGTTCAGGGAGACTGGTCGTTGCTGTTTGTTTACAATGATCCTTCATGCATGACTTTCCACGAAAAGACCGATTTCAAACCTTAGCTACCACTGTCCTATCATGTGCTATCTTGTACTTGGAAAATAGGACCACCCAGCCATAAAGCAACTTCAGTTAGAAATACGACAACTTGGCAGCTGGGAAGGCACATGCAGTGTGGTGCAGGGGGGAAGAATACAGGCTTCAGAGCCAGAGATACGTAGCTTCTTTGCTTTCCCACTCTGCTGTTCACTGTTTCCACGTTTGCCGACAACTCAGCCAACTCTCTCTGTGCCTCAGGCTCCCAACCATAAAATGTAGACCTGTTTACGGGTGGGAGGCAATGGGTCCCAAAGTGGCCTACTAGAATGCTTGGCATAGAGTAAGGATTTAAGAAAGGATAGCCATTGGTTTTCGTGGTTTGCTGAAATTTGGACCTTCCCATTTAGCACTTCTAGACACCTTGCAGCAAACAGCCCAGTCAGAAGACTTGACTGTGGTGAGATTAAAGAACCTGGCCGCTTTCCTTTGATACTTCATTGGCTCCTTTACACCCTATCCTGGCACATTTCCTTCTCCTTTTCATTCTTTCTGAAACTTAGAGGAGGAAACGGTAGATGGTTTTCTAGGCCTGTGGTCTGGTTCTGGAGAAATACGTAGATCACTGTCCATTGTGGTAGTCTTCACTGTCTAAAGCCTGAGTGTTTAATCACAGTCATACTTTCTAAAATTGCTCTTACCAAATGTTTGGCTCTGAAAGAATATAATTTGACTGATAGCCCTCAATAGCTTGTTTGGGTGGATTTGTGCTCTGAGATGGTAAGGCTGGACAATTTCCAGGGCTCTTGTCTATTCGTATAATCTCATTGTATATTTCTATTCATGACTCCACTTCTAACAGTAAAATAATTATAGGAAAAAGTAGGGAAGTTCTGAATGTAAATCTGGTAATTTCCAGGACCAACTGCAAACCTTGGTTAAAGCTAGGCTTACTAAGTGTCAGCAGTCTTCAGTAGGCTTTTTAGGGGAGAAATGAGTGTGTGGCTATTCATTCCAAAATGGTTCTCGTATGATAACAGAAAATATTATGGAAAAAGGAAATGAAGAAATGTAAAGATGAATTTGTGCATTTGCTATTAGTGGACAAAACAAAGTAGAACAAACAAATCTCTCTAGTGTTTTGCTGTAAATAAATTGGGCTTTTGTTAACTGAGCAAAACTTTTTGAGCCATGCACAGTGCTTTGCAAGTTTGGGACGAATCCGTGAAGTTTTTATCTTAAAATTATAATTGCCATATGCCAGAGTGTATGTTGAAGAGAACCCTAATGTTCAGATTTGCATTCTTACATTCTGTAAGTAAGGTTAAATTAAGAAATACTAACATAAACAAGATTAGCGTATATTTAAAAATCACAAAAGATTTTTTGTGGCTATGTGAACATATTCAGTTTACTATGTGCATATGTTTATTGTGTGTGTGTGTGTGTGTGTGTGTGTGTGTGTGTGTTTCCCAAACGTGGAGGAAAAACCCAGTAATGAAGAATTATTGCTGTGTAAAAGTATAGGAATATCTCATTGGTCATAATGTCTATTGACAGGCACTTTCAGCTTTTAATTCATTTCTGAAAATGGGCATTAGCTTATTCCTATTGCCAGTATAGATTCATTTAACATGTGGCCATAACCACAGCACTTAATCTTGTCAACATGTAGCTACTCTTAAAACTCTTCATTCCCTCTGGAATTAAACAAGAATAAACACCTTACCGTTGTTTTGTTTCTTGTTCTCGTCAAGAACTAGTTCATCGAGGAGGAAGATAATTGGGAAAAGAGAACAATTGCTAGATGCTTCTCTTTAGCACAAGTAAAACCCTATGCAGCTATTTCCCCCTTCCCAGGCAAAGACATTTTGAATTTGGAATCAGTTGTTTGCAACTTAAAATGACTTCATTGTGTTTTAAACCATCCTGGCTAAATGGAGACGAGTGGCCTCTCCATTCTGTCAGAGCACAAAGAATGTGCTCTGCCAGAGGAGAACAGAGTTCCCATGGCAATATTGCTAATTGTAAGATATACAAGGCATATCTGAACAAGTTTCTTTTTTTTTTATTGTGATGAAAACTAGAAGCTTTTTTCCCCCAACATACTTCATCAAACTATTTACAACCTCTGTAAAATTTGCGAGTTTGAAAATACTTTTCCACTATCACATATGTTTACGAATACAGCAAAATATTTTCACTCTATTTTTTTTTAAAGATGCAGTATCCTCCTATTTCATTTTCTTATGAAAACCTGAATTTCTATTGCAACTGCACAGTATTCAGCATAAAGTACCAATGGACATGGGTTGCTAAACAGATATTACTCTATAATGAAACTGTGAAAATAGAGCATTTTTAAACGTTTTATGTACACTTCTTAACTATAAAATGCAGGCAAAGTCATATATAGCATCATAAGCTGATTCCCTAATAAGGTAAATAACTTACATTTCTAGACAGCATGGATTATTACAAATTCATTCTTTTAAAAAAGGCCTTTGTTGATATTTGCTAGCCCACTGACTGCTGCGTATGCAGGTGCGTGCTGGCAGTGCCTGTGCAGGTGAGTGGAAGGCAGTGTTGGGTAAGGAGAAATGCATATGGAAGGCATGACTTACCAAACCCCTTCTCTAGACAAAACCAAATTAAATTGAAAGGCTGTTTTTAATGAGATGCACTCCCTCGGAAAAAGTGAAGGAAGAGGTTTGGTTAATGAAGTTACAGAATACATACATTTACCTCCTCAACTTACAGGCATGAGTACAGAGCCACATCTGAGACTGGACTATGGACTCCGAGTATGAAGGCTTCCCAGGCCTACCATGATCCATGAGAGTTCTCTCACGTTCAGTCCCTCACATGAAAACTCAGTGTACCGTGGGTGCTGGTATCCTTAACACTGCTTAAGTTCTGTCAGTCCTCGCTGTAAGTGTGAAGACTCCTTTCTAACAACATCATGGCTACACTTCTAAGCAGTCGTAACAACTTAACAAAGGCGTATTAGTATATCTGAAGGCCTCACCTCACCGGATCTTTTCAATTGCAGCTTTGGTAAGTATAATAAATAAAGTACAGAAGAGGGAATACTGCATCTTTATCCACATATACATGTTGTCGTTCGAATGAACTGATCTCAAAGTGCAGAATTATATTTACGTTCGAAACACAAATGGCAAAAATTGAAGTTAAAAAGAGTTGTATAAAAAGGAACACAACCTTGGTATAAGCTATTCCAGATTTCAAGCACAAGGAGAATGGCCTTCCTAATCACCTAGAACTGGCATCTGTAAACGCTGCAGCATCTCATCAGTTCTTCCCCCCCCCACAATCCTCTTCCCGTTTTCCACTGAAACTTTCAAGTGAATCAAAAGTGCTCTTTAAAAAATGTGGTTTGTGTTACTGTTACTCCACTGCTTTTGAAAATGAATGTCCTATAGTGTTTTGTCGAAGTGATGCCAAGCAGTAGTATATTCTTTATGGGAAAGCCATTAGGAAGTTCAGTCTAAACGTCTTAATAGAACTTAAGACAAGTTATCAAGCAGGCTTCTCGGAGTCCACACATAACTGTCAGGATGGGGCTGGACGTGGATGGGGAAGACTGAATCTGCTTCCGAACAACTTAAGGTCAGAATATGGGGAAGGGATCTATCAGAACCTCAGAGTAACTCATAACTTTTCAAAGAACGCTAACTCCCTTGAACGCCATCTCTACAACGCACAAGATCGCCAGGCCTACCGTAGCTTCTCAAGCCATCACGCTGTCTGTGGAGAAGTTCTCAGATGCGCACACACGTCCAACTGCGAACTGAACAGCTCCAAAGTTAAAAGCAAAGAATGCTTCTAGTCAGGGGATGGACCAGTCCTGTGGATTCTGCGCCTTTTCTGGTGTTCGTCATTTACTACTGTGCTTTTCAAAAGAGGCTAGAATGGACACAGATGAAATGGCGGAGGCTTCTCCATGCCTGAAGATATTCCTCCCTAAAAACCCAATTCCTTCTCTCCCCAACCGCTTTCCTTTCCGTGGGGAAACAGGAGTAGAAAACTCACCAGGGAGAATCTGCTATGTTCCAGGACGAGCCCTGGGTACGTTTCAGTCCTGGGGTGAGATCGGCAACTCACTCACTCACTGTTTGTGCTTGGATCCTTCTTTAGAAGTATTGAGCATGTCAAAAGGGTGGGTGGGTGGGGGGATGGCCTAACACTGTTTAGCGGCTAACTTACCATCTCAGTCTGGTTTCCACTTTCAGAGGATGAGGAGAAAAAGCTCACTTCCCTGAACCTTTCCTATGTGATCAGAGAGGAGCAGCCTATTTAGTTCTGTGCTAAATTTAAATCAAGCTGTCACTCAGGAAGCTCCCACTGCCTGTCAGTTCTATGAATTCTAAAAACCATTTCTACCTGTAACACTCTCAAGACATCTCTGTGCAGAGAAGAGATCGGCCCATCTTCTGAAGGCAGGCAGAATGAAATCAAGTCTACACTGCAGCTGGGTGATTCACCTACTCACTGCCAACCGGGTTCCAGGACCAGCAGGGAGGGCGGTCACTCTCCGTGTTGGCCATTCTCCGTGTTCTTTGTCACTGACCAGGAACCAAGGCTGGCGTGCAGCCAGAAACCCTTTTCTACCCAAAATGGTCACAGGCAATGAGAAGTAGGAATTGTATACAGTACAGATAGAAAACTTTCCAGTTGGTAAAAAACAAAACAAAAACAAAACAAAAAACAAAAAAACAAAAAAAACCAAAACCCACAAAAAAAACAGTGCTTGGTGGGGAGAAGACTGTGTAGCAAAAGAAGTTATTTATCAATAGAATCGAAGCCCTTGTTCGAGGGAAATTGCCTGATGAGTTTTTTAGACCCGGCAGAAAATGCAGAGCACATAATTTTGAAGACAGAATTTGACCTGAACATCATTATGCTGTTGCTTGAACATTTAAAACAATTCCTTCTTAATACCATCCAACACAAACTGTCCTTATTTCAATGTTTTATCGTTCCTTGCCTTGTCAGAATAAGATTCTCTGAATGAGGAGATGATCCTAAAAAGGACAGTCCTGCCACCGGAAATTATTTCAGAATGTTCAAACATTTAAAAAATGAGCTAGGAATATTGTGAGGTTAATTTGTGCAATTCCCCAAATCAAATGTTTGTAATTAAAATATATTGCAAAGGTCTATGCTGGTAACTCCTTATATCTAAGCTATAAAAAATCTTAACAACAACAATAACAACAATAACAAAAAAATGTCACCAAGCCCCTTAGCCACATAAAGCTGAAAAAAAACCAGCTTTTAGTGGGGAAAAAATATGATAATTTTTCTGAAAGAATGCTTGTTGGTGATGTATTGCTTTGTTTACTGTATACTTCGCTAGTTGCAAGAAAGGCTCATAATTTTAGGGGGTTGACGGGACTGTGATCTCCCCTCACCCTCAGCACAGGATGAGTGGGTTCAACATCCCTGTCCATGCCAATGCAGAACCCCTGGGGTCTGATACAGTTTAGAAAATGAAATTTGTATAGAAGAACCTAATGGAGAGTCACTTAGCCTTGGCTCTCCAAGTGAGGAAATTAGCACCATGTTAGGCTTTCCTCGGGGAGCACTCCCTTTCCACTGACTCGGTTCCAAGGAGAACTGACCCACTAACCCAGGGGTTAATTCCCTGCTATGCCTCCTTGGCCTTTCTGGTCACCAAATAACTGTTTTCAAACAAGAAAAGGGGAGCATAATCTTTAATTGTGGTATTCAACCAAGCAGGACAACAAACAGCAGAAAGATTACCTCAGTGCTGTCAATGTAACCAAGACCTCTAAAATGCTGGGGTGTTTTTTACAATCCCTTTAGTAGGTATGAAAATTGGTAACGTGAGTCCTCAGTGAAGTTATTGTAGGAAAGTCCTTTTATTCATTATTGCTTTTCTCCTCAAGAGGCACATTATTCCATCTCTGCTTTGTCTGATTTTTCATGTTCACTGACTTTGCCTGAGCAGCCCCACCTCTTACCTTGGTGCCAGTGTGTCTAAGCAAGTTTTGTTTTTTTTTTCCCCCCTGATTCCTTGTAATCAAATAGTAGGGGCAGGAAGAGATGATGCCTAGGGGACAGAACACTGCGATTTGAAGTGGGGCAGCAGTTTCTTTAGCCAGGCTCTTCCTATTCAACTACAGAACACCTCTGTGCCGGTCCACGCCAGGGCAGACACCGGGACTACACTCCACCTGAAATGTCGCTGCCCCTCTGCTCGAACAGATGAACAAAACAGAATCAGAACAAAACAAAAACAATCAATGACAAACAAATGAAAGATTCAATGTCGGTTTCTCGTCAGGGCATGGCATAATGACAAGTGGTGGGTGGTGCTATCTAGAATGCTGTCACACTGTGGCCAAGGGCCGCCCGAGTGCCCCTTTCTTTTCAGGGAACGGAACTCTCCAACAGGCTGCTCCTTCTCTACGTTCGTGCTGCTCACTGGTAACAGACTGGATGTGTGTTCTATCTTACTGAGACAGTAACGAAAATTTCAGTAAAAAGGGGGAAAGGGGGGGGTGACGGGAGAAGAATCCCAATTTGAAAGGTCCTGCTCTAGCCATCGGTTGGTGGTAGATGACCTTTAAGGGATCAATAACAAAATGTCTGACAGCTCAGAAAACTGGTCCAAGCTACAAACATCTTGAAATGGCAGAGTACACGGCTCGGGAGACAATGCCTGTCTCTTCAGCGTTTGGGTCACGGATCTCCCAGGCCAGCGCGAAGACGGGTTTCTCGTGGAGTCGTGATGGGGGTTACCTTCAGACCAGAAGGAGAAGGGTTCCTTCTTTTTCCTGCTCTGGTTTCAGACATCGTGGGATGGTGATGCCCTTTCATGTTAACACTGTGGAGGGGGTTCAGCCCTGCTGAAGGGGGTGCCGCTAAGAGGTCCAGCTCTGCTGCTTAGCTGGACAGGTAGCAGTCCTCACACCAGCATGTGCCTTCGGCGGTGCAGTGCCAAATGATCTGACCGGGAAAAGCTGCGATCACAGTCCGCGCACTTGAATGGCTTCACTCCCGTGTGTTTGCGGTAATGCCTTGTCAGTTCGTCCGAGCGAGCGAACTTCCAGGTGCAGCCTTCCCAGGTACACTTGTAGGGTTTCTCTCCTGGAAGAAAAAGGGACACACGCTTTTGGTGCTCCGTCACTTTCCCATAATAACCAAGCCAGCACTACGTGTGGGGAGACTGGCTGCGCTCAGCGGGTGTTCCGTGTGGTCATCTTTGGTCGGGAAACCTTACCATCCTGCCGGCGGGCTGGGGGTCTGTCAGGTCGGGGGAATGGAGGGGGGCGTTCGATCTCGTCTCTCCTGTTGTGACATCTCATCTGGCAAGTTAGTTAACACCTGCCTCCTCAATGACGGAGACATGACTTTTCGGTCAAAACATCCAAAGGCACAGAATGACCACTACTGGATAGAATCACCACTTGCTCGACTAAAAAAGGCATTTTAGCTCTCTGCCTAGGCTGATGTGGCTCTAAAACTGAGACTCACAAAGAATTATAAAGGGTCATTAGTTACGTTTAGTTTCAATACTCCTCCCCAAATGTGCATCACTTAGATGGTTTAAGGCTATTTTAGGACACGATGTCCATTTATCAGTCATCGGGAACAGGCACAAAATCCCATCAAAAGGTAAAAGCATTCCACCACTCCCCAGAAATTAGGTGTGAAGTACACATCACTCATAAACATCTACTTTTTGCTTGTCTGTTGGAAAAGAATCCTAGATAGCTTAAGAGTGTAAAGTTTAAATACTCTTTTCAGTGATTTAATTAGGGTGAGCTCTGAGGAATCATCAAGTTGGTTTTAGTGTTGAAACTCATGGTGAAAAGCCGTCTGAAGAAGCATGTAATTTGACCGGGTCCTTCAGTCAACTTGTAAGGACAGTAAAATACGCAAAGGCTTTGCTGGGAAAAGATACACTAACCATTGTCCAAATGAACTCCCAGGGGGAGAGAGACAATGGTTGACCCAGGTGTGTTTTTTTTTTTTTTTCCTGGCTCTCATTCAGAATGGATGCCCTGTCCCCATGCAACCCCACAAACAGTGATCTCTCCTTCTGTTCCTCCTATCCAAGAGTGAACAACAGGCTTCCTGGCCACACAGTCTTGGTGAAAAGGGCCTAAGTCAGGAAAGGAAGCTTTTTGCTGATTCCTATGCATAGAGCTACAGGGTGAGTATTGTTAACCCCACTTTACAGATGAGGTCCAGTGTAGTAAAGTAACTTGCCCAGTGTCAGAAGAAAAGGTGTATTTGGCTCCAAATCCAGTGCTTTTCAATATGCTGCAGTGGAATGTATAATTCTTTTCCCATGTACACTTTGTCACATCCTCAAAGTTGGTTCTACTTTCTCAGGTACTCCCAAATCATTCATTTCTTATTTCTATTATATCATCTATCGAAATATGTCATAAAGATTTTATTCAGATGCCTTTTTCCTCTACCCATTCATTTCTGAATACGTGGAGGTCAAGGACTATGCCTCTACCATTTCAGTATCCTTGGAGCCTAGGATAAGTGTCAAACAAATGCTTGTACGAATCAGTGAAACTGACACACACACCACACCCCCACACACCCCCACACACCCCCCCACACCCACACCCACACAGAATCACTAAGCTCTATAAGTGAGCGTACAAGTGATGCCTACATGGGAGAACTAGCCTGAACTGGACCCAACAATTTTCATTCAACTCTGAAATAAATGCTATCTATATGGGTCCTTTCAGGATCAAGTGACCCTTTCAGAAGGGAGTGAATAGCACAGACCAGTTAAATCAAGAAATATTGATGCACTGTGGACCACAGAAAGCTCCAGGTTCCTCTGAAAGGGCTCCTTTCAAGTAGAAGCCTACTGAGTGGATTAACCCAAAACCTCAACCTCTGACTCATTCTAGACGTCCTACAGAGACAAAAATCTTCATATGCAGGTGTCTACTGACCCAAGTTGAACAGAAATTAAAAAAAAGAAAAATCAGCAAAACCCCTAACTTAAAAAGATTGTCTCCTACACAGTATATCAATGGCAACTATTAACACGCTTTTATTTACATGTCCTCCCTATGTGTTTGTGAATTCACATCAGGAGCATGGGTTCTAACAAGCTGAGCTTGATGTAAATCACGTCTTCAAAAACACCTCCGTCTTTGGGGCACTGAGCTCAGCTGGTGGACTCTTTGTCACCAACAGGCATCTCCCAGTCCTCTCTGCTGTCACTCTGGAGCCAGCTACCAAGAGTGTAAGGCCTAGGAAGGAAAGAATAGCGGGTTTTCTTAGTTGAAGGATGGATGTGGAAGTGTCCTATGTGTACGCCTCCCTTGGCCATTCTAGAGAGAGAGGAAGGGGACCCATAGCTGGGATGAGCCTGGAAAGTAAGTAAGTAGAGACAAGGAGTGGGCGAGAGCCTCCAGTCTGCTCTCGGGAAGGATGGTAGAGTTCGAATGGCCCACCATGGGGACAGTATATCGTCTCAGGTACTCTCTGGATTTCCTTGTACACCCAGAGTAGGCACTTAGTGTTCTCTAATTCCTGCCTCACAATTCTAATAGTCTTACTTTTCCTTCCATTTTGGCTGTTTAATAACGGCATTTATGTCCTTTCCACTTGAAAATCTAAAGCAGAGAGTGGCTCTTCCAGGCTAAATCCAGTCTGTGGCCTGTTTTTTGTGCAGCTTAGAGTGGTTTTTACACTTGGTACGTGGTTGGAAAAAAATCAAGAGGACTATTTCACGGCATGTGAAAATTACATAAAATTCAAATTTTAGCGTCCATAAATACGTTTTTGTCAGAACACGAGTCTCCATATTGTTTAAGGCTGTCATCCAGTGATGCAGAATTGAGCCCTGTAACAGAGAACGTCTGGCCTGCAATGCCTAGAAATTTACTATCTGGCCCTTTACAGAAAGTTTACTGACCCCTGCTGTAAGGGGTCACCTGAGCCTTCTGCAGGGTTCCTGATTATGTTAACTTATTGAACTGGGGTACATAATGCACACTGTTAATTTGGGATGGGTGGGTGAGGGAATCTTTTGGCTATAGAATAACCACTTATTCTCCACTTAGGACCCCAACTAAAATTCTCACAGCCTACTCAGTAATAAACACACATGATATTTCATGTCAAATTCTTTAAATTGAGAGTTCTGGAGTGATTGACTCTCTGAAAAGGCTCACCCAATCCGATCTGAGTTTTAAAAATATCTTTAGGATCGGGAATGTCTCTATACACTTTTATTAATGAGGCAATAGGGGCAAGGAATATTGTGCTTAAGTTTTTATGGATAGTAAAAAGAAAGTATACCTTTTTATAAGAAATTTTCAAGGAAAATTCACTTATCACTCAGACAATTAAGTTTATTCTTATCTGGTAACCAAAAGCACAATGATTCTACATAGTGATGGAGGCTCCTCTCCAAGGCCTTTTAACACAGTCGTGTTACAAGGTCACTGTGAATCATGACAAGTTACTATTCTACTGAGTCTGGGAAGGAAGGCACAGGGAGGTAGCTTGGCTGTATGGCATCGTTTCTAACATGGATGTTTCCGGGCATGGGGCACAGGGGAAGGAGGAACTGATGGTACGGATTTCTGTGAGTCCCGTGGAGCAGGAAGACTTAGTGCAGAACTGGAGAAGTATTCTGTGAGGTAGAATCCAGGGCAATAAGCAATCAGGAAAGACAAGGCTGGGTGAAATGGGTGAAGTGGGTCAAAAGGCACAGAGAAACGAAGTCATGGGGAGACTAGAAAGTTGCTGAGAGTAGATCTTAATGAAAAGTTCTCATCACACACAAAAAATCATCAGCATCTGTGGTGACAGATGTTACCTACACTTACTGTAGGGATCATTTCACAACCTATACAAATATTGAATGTTGTACACCTGAAACTGATTAAATGTTCTATGTCGGTTATATCTTGATAAAAAAAAGATAGACAAGGAATAGGTTTCAAAACTACCAGAAGTAGACATGTCCCTACTCTTGAATAAAACCAATGAAAATGATAAATAAGCTTGTAAGTTATTAAGGGGCTAGGCAACAAAGGAAGGCATATAATGATGAATGCAAACCTTTTCCACTAGGGAGCAGCGAGGGAGAAAGCATATCAGAAAAGAGTAAACTTAACTGTCTGAGCGGTAAGTGAATTTTCCTCGAAAACTTCTTATAAAAAGGTATACTTTCTTCTTAATATCCACGAAAACTTAAGCATACCATACCTTGCCCCTACTGCCTCATTAATAAAACTGGAGTTTGCGTATTCTCTCCCCATGCTTAAAAAAAAAAAAAAAAAAAAAAAGAGGAAAAAAGAAAATGATTACCTTCAAATCTCTCTTCAAAATTAGAGGCTGAGCTATAGGGGGTGGGGTATGAGACGGCTACCCCGACCAGACGCGGAGCTGACCTCTGCCCTTCGCTCAAGAGAGACCAAGGGTTTGATTATACCTGTCCACTGCCTAGCATCTTATTTAAAAAAAAAAAAAATCAATAAATGCTCTTTTTGGACTAACCAAGTCCTAGAAGTGGATAGAAGAACAATTTTAGTGGCCACTGCATTGTATGGAACTATACATTGTATTTTATGCTTGTGCTTTAAAGCAATTTAAAGGATACAATCTTAGAAATAAATTAGAGTAACAGAAACTTCCTGATGTGAGTAAAAACTTATTAAAATGATAAATACATTTGTAAGATGTACTGTAGTATGCATAAATGAGCCCTGAAAGGATATAACAAGCAGACAGAATCTTTCTTCTATTCTGTCTTCTTTCCTTTAAAATCTTCCTAGAAAATAAAAAACTAAATTTAATGTTAAGAAGCAGCGTGGTATGTACAGAATGGTAAGTGCATTTTCCAAGACAATTTTCCTATGGAAAGAGTTGGCTTGGACGATGAGAGGAGTCAGGCATCTCCCAGTCTGTGCTTCTACTGCCCACAGCGGCTCGGCATTGGGCTGAATGACAGTTAACAGTAAACACGATTTCCAGTCATTTCTTCAGGAATTGTGAATTGTCCTTCAATGCATTTGAATTAGATTTCTGCAAATGTGTTATTCAAATCTGTTTTCCCTAGAAATAATCTGAAAATAAAAATAGCATGCTCACCT